TTTTTTTTTTTTTATCGCTACGTGTCGTTTCGAGTGAAATAAATCTCGAATAACTTCAAAAATTTTATGAATTTATGATGAAGAAGCTAGAGAATAGGATTGGAAAATTGTTTCGAATTTTTGTTACATACAGAGTAATTAGTACAGAATTTAATATATAAAATAATATAGGTAGGGTAGTTAGTTTAATATATAAAATAATTAGTTTAGAGATAATTAGTAATTAATTAGGAGTTCAGATACAGAGTGTTGAAAACTTACATTTGTCACCCTCTCATAGTGGAGACCACCAGGTTGCGACGTATTCTTCGTGACAGTCCACATAGGTAGATGATTCACAGTCAGCAACCCTTCCGTAGGCTTCAATGACAGACTGATGTCCTTCCCGAATGCCTTCAGGTGTATCTCTGGCTTCCCTATACTTCTCTTGTGCATCGAATGCAGCACAGGTATAACTTCGTACGTCGGTACTAGAATTTAAATGTTCTCAACGTTTTCATTGAGATTTTAGGATATCAACGAAGATTGGTACCATTATCTTATGACGCTAGATTAATCGAAACATCGATCATATGAAAAATATTCTTAGAACAAAAATATTTCTTACAATACGTGTTGCAGTTTGTATTATTAGAAAGCGTACATTTATCAATGGAAATAGTTTTTTTTCATCAAGTTAATCAAAGGATTAACGACAAAGTACAATAGCAAATGAATTTCATTTATTGTTAGTAGATTTCATTACGTGGCAAGGTCATCAAGCGTGCAAGTGAATCGAGTTCAGATTAAATGGAAAGGCAACTGTATACCGCTAGTTGTTAAATTTTTTTCTTTTTATTTCATCGTGATTACCAGACTCGTGTCCCGTGTGAAACACCGATAACATCTCCTCCCTTGTCATGTGTTCGTGGATCTGCAACAGGCAAGAAATTCACCGTGAGCGCATGCTTCACGCTTCCATTTCTTTAATACTTTGGCAGATATATCGAACATTTAATTTTCAATTGGATATTGAATTTTTTAAAAATACAGATAACACTAGGAGAACATATTTACGAACATTGTTATTATACTTTTACCACTCGCTTGTATCATTATTTTACAATTAATTTAAGTACAAGCATTATTAATATAAGTATAATTAAATTTATAAAAAATAGATACTGCACAGAAGATAATCATTTGATGGGCAGGAAATTATTGTACTTTCCGGAAGAATGTTTCGAACGCGGAAATATCGTTTTACAATCCATAGCTTCGGTCGAGATAATTTCCTCATTATCAGTTATTACGTAATTTCCCAAATTTCGAGCCATGGGCGTCGGCCTGATGCTGCTAATTTCGCTTTCTTTGCGTTATTGGGATAGTTTCTCGCCTAGTATTGTTCCCAACCAAGTGTTGAAATATCGAGGAAAAAGTAATCGTCGTATCGTGGGAACTACAACGCGTAATAATAACACCAAGGAACAAAAAAGTCTGTTACTCTGAATTTTTTATCACAATGTGTTCCAAACTGTACAGACTTTTACATCAACTGCCGTAATTACTTCCCCTATATTTTATGTGTAACTATAGCGAAATACTTTTCTTACAGTTACTCGGCCAATTATTTCCAGATAAGTTTTAAAACTCTGCAAAATTTGTAGTTCTCCAAAATTTTCTAGCCCCCAAGTTACTCAGATATTCGATTTTTTCTGATTCTCAGTTTCACAAATTTCTGAAGCTTTATTTAGTTCCCAAATTTCCAAATTTTACAATCATTCGGTAATTGCACCTCGAACAGTTCAACCCTTCGAATCTGGACAAGATCCTTAAGTTTCCAACTGCTCATTGCGGTAAATAAACCCAACCACTTTCCCCCGAGGAAGCAAAAACAATTTTCGCGAAACGCGTTCCTTATAAAGCTCGATTATTTCCACAAAACGCCCAAGCAACGCATTCTTTTCTCTCTCTCTCTCTCTGTCTCTTTCACTCGATTGCGGCGTATTAGCAAATCGCTGGAATAGCCAGAACAGTTTCATTACACTCGTTCGCTTCGTCGTCGCCAAGTGCATGGCTAATTGCCTGCAGTTGCGAGGACAATGATCAAACGATTGCCGGACTCGCATGCATGCCTGATTGTTGGAACACGGTCCCCAACGCTGGCAATCGATGCGCGTGTATTTCTCTTTCAAAAGTTTTTTATTTTTTTATTTTTTTTCCAATCGCGGCTTCCAAGGTCTGCTTCTACCATTTAAGAACACCTATGCCACCTGTGTATTATATACTGTGTGTCGCAGAAACCGAGCTGCAATTAACTATCACGCTGCTCTACTAAGGTCGATCACTTTCACTCATTACGTTAGGAAATTCGATCGCGTGTGCGCTGTCCTATTTGCGCTCTTTGCCGATTCCACAGTCGATCGATGCACGAATCGTGCACTATTAAATACTGTTAATCCTCTGCACTACTCTTAAT